GATTCTCACATGACATTGATTATCTGTGGGGGTCATAAAACAGTAAGTTAGTATTTTCAACCACTTGGCTGTTAGTATGAACGCACTATCCATTGCATACCAAACAGTTCACCATCAAATTTAAAGCGCAACTGTGGGCACCATAAAAAAATACCCTTACAGCAGGGGTGTCAAACTGGCGGCCCTCCAGGTGCTGTGAAACTACTACTTGTACAAGGACTTGGGTCATCGTACTGAAGAAGGAAGTTCAGGGTCCTCAAAATTACTACTAAGAGTTACTGGAGTATCCCATAGTTACTCTATTCCTGTCCAAGTTCACGTTCTACATTAAAGCATCAGAAAAGCATGCCCCTAGTCCAGGGGTGTCAAACTGGTGGCCCTCCAGGTGTTGTGAAACTACTACTTGTACAAGGACTTGGGTCATCGTTCTGAAGAAGGAAGTTCAGGGTCCTCAGAATTGCTACTAAGAGTTACTGGAGGCCCTCCAGCTGTTGCAAAACTACGAGTCCCATCATGCCTTTGGGAGTCATGCTTGTAACTCAATCTTGCAATGCCTCCTGGGACTTGTAGTTTGGCAACAGCTGGAGGGCTGCCAGTTTGACACCCATGCCCTAGTCTGTTCACTGAGCCAAAGGAGTGACTGTGACTGTGTGCCTGGCTGCAGGCCAAAATACCTAAGGAACCGTTAATACAGCAGGCTCCTATGGGGATACTGCTACAGTATATTTGGTGTTCTGTCCTGGAGGCTGCTCGCTAACAACCGTGGTTTCCTGTTTGGCAACAGCTTGAGGGCCGTCAGTTTGACCCGCATGCCCTAGTCTGTTCACTGAGCCAAAGGAGTGACTGTGACTGTGTGCCTGGCTGCAGGCCAAAATACCTAAGGGACTGTTAATACAGCAGGCTCCTATGGGGGTACTGCTACAGTATATTTGGTGCTCTGTCCTGGAGGCTGCTCGCTAACAACCATGGTTTCTTGCTGGACCCTTGGAGAAGTCTGCTAAAAATAAATTGAAAAGATGGAGCACCAAACAAGTGCTGAACATTCTGGTGATTGGTTGCAACGTTATACAGTATGTGGTACGTGGTCCTGGAAGCTGCTCACCAACAACCGTTGATCCCTGCTGGACCCTCAGAGACGTTTGCTAAAAAAACTGAAAAGATCTGAGAGCCACATTAGTGCAGAACATTGTGGTGATTTGTTATAAAAAAATATTTGGCTGCCCTGGAGGCTCACCAACAACCATGGTGTCCTGCTAGGGGGGGAAAGTGTCCGGACTGGAAGGGGAGGAAAGTGTCCGGACTGGAAGGGGGGGAAAGTGTCCAGACTGGAAGGGGGGGGAAAGTGTCCAGACTGGAAGGGGGGGAAAGTGTCCAGACTGGAAGGGGGGGAAAGTGTCCAGACTGGAAGGGGGTGAAAGTGTCCAGACTGGAAGGGGGGGAAAGTGTCCGGACTGGAAGGGGGTGAAAGTGTCCGGACTGGAAGGGGAGGAAAGTGTCCGGACTGGAAGGGGGGGAAAGTGTCCGGACTGGAAGTGGGTGGGAAGTGTTCGGACAGGAAGTGGGTGAAAGTGTCTGGACTTTAAGGGGGTGAAAGTGTCCGGACTGGAAGGGGGTGAAAGTGTCCGGACTGGAAGGGGGGGAAAGTGTCCGGACTGGAAGGGGGTGAAAGTGTCCGGACTGGAAGGGGGTGAAAGTGTCCGGACTGGAAGGGGGGGGAAGTGTCCGGACTGGAAGGGGGTGAAAGTGTCCGGACTGGAAGGGGGGGAAAGTGTCCGGACTGGAAGGGGGTGAAAGTGTCCGGACTGGAAGGGGGTGAAAGTGTCCGGACTGGAAGGGGGGGGAAGTGTCCGGACTGGAAGGGGGGGGAAGTGTCCGGACTGGAAGGGGGGGGGAAGTGTCCGGACTGGAAGGGGGGGGAAAGTGTCCGGACTGGAAGTAGGTGAAAGTGTTCGGACAGGAAGGGGAGGGAAGTGTCCGGACCGGAAGGGGGGGGAAGTGTCCGGACTGGAAGGAGGTGAAAGTGTCCGGACTGGAAGGGGGGGGAAGTGTCCGGACTGGAAGGGGGGTGAAAGTGTCCGGACTGGAAGGGGGGTGAAAGTGTCCGGACTGGAAGGGGGTGAAAGTGTCCGGACTGGAAGGGGGGGGAAGTGTCCGGACTGGAAGGGGGGGGGGAAGTGTCCGGACTGGAAGGGGGGGGGGAAGTGTCCGGACTGGAAGGGGGGGGAAAGTGTCCGGACTGGAAGTGTTTAAGCAAAGACAACGGCACCAAAGGGTTAATGTTCCTTATACACAGGTAGCTAATGCTCCCTCTTACCACTCGTTGATCCAACGCCGGCTTACTGTTCCTTCGTCAGTTCAGAAATCAAAGTCCTTGTGGTGTCGGCTCTGTGAAGGGAGAGCCTCTGGTGACTATTGTAGCTGTCAGCCTTTCTGGTTAGCGATCCCTTCCTCTTATAAACAGAGACACGTGGAGCTTAGCAACGGCGTCGGTGTCACCGCTGGTTCTTCCGGTTCTCATTTCACTGGGTTTCATCAGAGGGATTCCCCGGACCTGGTCAGGGCTGGGGAAAGGTCACAAGACAAAGGCTGTGACAAGCACGCCTTACGACTAATATTAACCCCTTCTTAGCTTCTCCGTTTTGCAGACATACACTTTATAAACCAAATATTCCAAAGTCCGTATCTCCTTTAACCCTTTCACCGCCGGAGCCGTTTTTGCACCTTTTATATTTTCTGAAAGCAGAGAATAGAATGGAGAATACAATAGCGGTAGTTCTAATTTTTTTTTAGGTCACACGCAGGGGCGGACTGACCATTTGGAAACTCGGGCACTGCCCAAGGGCCCGGGGTCTGTAGGGAGATGCCCCTGGTACCTTTCTCATTGGCTTTTTTGGGTTTGGACAAGGACACCGGGGCCCCATGATTCCCTATTGTCCGGGGGCCCCATGAGTTGTCAGTCCGCCCCTGGTCACACAATATTACCGCAAAGGTCTAGGAAACGCAACAGTTCAGTAAAAAATACACTAAAGTGAATTTTAGGGCAAACTAACGCAATAAAGTACCCATGTTTTTGTGGTTAAAATAGGTTGCACCGAGTAAATAGATACCCAACATGTCAAACCTTAAAATTGCATGCACCCTGTGAAACGGTGACAAACTTCAGTACGCTATAATTTCTATAGGTGATGCTTTAGGGCTGGTTCACACCAAAGAAAGTCCAGATGTGTTTCTGCATGCGCGTTTTTGGCGTGTTCCAGTGCGTTTTTGATGCTTTTGAGTTCATTTTTTTCCCCTCTCCTTTTCTTCAATTTAAATAGGCACATGCAGGGGCGGACTGACAACTCATGGGGCCCCCGGGCAATAGGGGATCATGGGGCCCCCGGGCAATAGGGGATCATGGGGCCCCTGTGTCCTTGCCCAAACTCAAAAAAGCCTATAAAAAAGGTACCAGGGGCATCTCATGGGGCCCCCTACTGACCCCCGACCCTCCGGCAGTGCCCAAGTTTCCAAATGCTCGGTCTGCCCCTGGACACATGTGTGTTCCTGTGCGTTTTTGATGCATTTTGCTGTGTCCTAGTACAGTTTTGTGCAGGAAAATGCAGCCTGTTCTACTTTTTTTTTGCAATCGGAATGCACTGGAACTGCGATCACTGATGTGAACTATGACACTGACAGCCATATCACCTACTTTCTGTGCGTTTTGGATGCAGAAAAAAGCAACTGAAACGCATGGAGTGTGAAATGGCCCTTGGGACTGGTTCACACCATAGAAACGCAGTCCAGATGCGTTCCAGATGTGTTTCCACATGCGCGTTTTTGGAGCGTTCCAGTGCGTTTTTGATGCTTTCGAGTTCATGTTTTTCCCCTCTCCTTTTCTTCAATTTAAATAGGCACATGTGTGTTCCAGTGCGTTTTTGATGCATTTTGCTGCATCCCAGTACAGTTCTGTGCAGGAAAAAATTCAGCCTGCTCTACTTTTTTTTCTGCAACCGGAACGCAATGGAACTGCAAGCGTTGATGTGAACTGTGACACTGACAGCCATATCACCTACTTTCTGTGCGTTTTGGATGCCGAAAAAAGCAACTGAAACGCACTGGCCCTGAACCCCGGTTCACACTTCTGCGGTGCGGCATATCGCATGTGATTCGCACAGGAAACTCACTGCATTTCTGTGCAAATCACATGCGAATTCTGTGCGGTGCGATTTGAGCCATAGATTTTGTATGCCTCTAATCATGCCGCATCCGCACTAAAAAAGGCGCAGGACCCTTTTTTTTGGTCCGCACTAGAATCGGATCATATGGGTATTCACACCTATGCGATCCGATTCTGCACATCGCACCGCGTTTTGCGAACTGATTTCGGGGTTGTTGTAAATTTTGCGTACACACCCGCTGCGGTTCGCATGAACGGGGCGCGATTGTGATGCGGTGTGGAATTGGCACAGAAAACGCTGCAAATTCTACATTGCATCAGTGTGAACCCGGGCTTAATGCATCTAGTACGCCGTTACCAGGCCCCATGTTTTTACCCCCCTACCAGCCTATTTCCTCATTTCCCAAAAAATGTGGCAAAAAAATTAGATCACCTGGGTGAGGGGGGTATACTTTCCAAAAAGGGGTCTTTGGGGGGGTGTTGTTTGTACGGCCGTTACATTTTTATTTGATATGATTTATAACATAAAGTGTTGTTTTTTTTAATCGCATTATTTAGTCTAAAAAAACTACATAATACAATTAAAACAAAAAAAACACTTTATGTTATAAATCGTAAAAACTTTTTAGCACACGGGACGTTTTTACAGCGGCTGTTTTTGGCTTTTGATGTTTTTTTTTCTACAGCCAGTAACCCCCCCCCCCCAGCATGTTCTCCTATGTGTCCATCCCCGGCATGTTCTCCTATGTGTCCATCCCCGGCATGTTATCCTATGTGTCCATCCCCGGCATGTTATCCTATGTGTCCATCCCCAGCGTGTTATCCTATGTGTCCATCCCCGGCGTGTTATCCTATGTGTCCATCCCCGGCATGTTATCCTATGTGTCCATCCCCGGCATGTTATCCTACGTGTCCATCCCCGGCATGTTATCCTATGTGTCCATCCCCGGCATGTTATCCTATGTGTCCATCCCCGGCATGTTATCCTACGTGTCCATCCCCGGCATGTTATCCTATGTGTCCATCCCCAGCGTGTTATCCTATGTGTCCATCCCCGGCATGTTATCCTATGTGTCCATCCCCGGCATGTTATCCTATGTGTCCATCCCCGGCGTGTTATCCTACGTGTTCATCCCCGGCGTGTTATCCTACCCCCCGGCATGTTATCCTATGTGTCCATCCCCAGCATGTTATCCTATGTGTCCATCCCCGGCATGTTATCCTACGTGTCCATCCCCGGCATGTTATCCTATGTGTCCATCCCCAGCGTGTTATCCTATGTGTCCATCCCCGGCATGTTATCCTATGTGTCCATCCCCGGCATGTTATCCTACGTGTCCATCCCCGGCGTGTTATCCTATGTGTTCATCCCCGGCGTGTTATCCTACGTGTCCATCCCCGGCATGTTATCCTACGTGTCCATCCCCGGCATGTTCTCCTATGTGTCCATCCCCGGCATGTTATCCTATGTGTTATCCTACGTGTCCATCCCCGGCATGTTATCCTATGTGTCCATCCCCGGCATGTTATCCTATGTGTCCATCCCCGGCATGTTATCCTATGTGTCCATCCCCAGCATGTTATCCTATGTGTCCATCCCCGGCGTGTTATCCTATGTGTCCATCCCCGGCGTGTTATCCTATGTGTCCATCCCCGGCGTGTTATCCTATGTGTCCATCCCCGGCGTGTTATCCTATGTGTCCATCCCCGGCGTGTTATCCTATGTGTCCATCCCCGGCATGTTATCCTATGTGTCCATCCCCGGCATGTTATCCTATGTGTCCATCCCCGGCATGTTATCCTATGTGTCCATCCCCGGCATGTTATCCTATGTGTCCATCCCCGGCATGTTATCCTATGTGTCCATCCCCCGGCATGTTATCCTATGTGTCCATCCCCGGCATGTTATCCTATGTGTCCATCCCCGGCATGTTATCCTATGTGTCCATCCCCAGCGTGTTATCCTACGTGTCCATCCCCGGCATGTTATCCTATGTGTCCATCCCCGGCATGTTCTCCTATGTGTCCATCCCCGGCATGTTATCCTATGTGTTATCCTACGTGTCCATCCCCGGCATGTTATCCTATGTGTCCATCCCCGGCATGTTATCCTATGTGTCCATCCCCGGCATGTTATCCTATGTGTCCATCCCCGGCATGTTATCCTATGTGTCCATCCCCGGCATGTTATCCTATGTGTCCATCCCCAGCGTGTTATCCTATGTGTCCATCCCCAGCGTGTTATCCTATGTGTCCATCCCCGGCGTGTTATCCTATGTGTCCATCCCCGGCGTGTTATCCTATGTGTCCATCCCCAGCGTGTTATCCTATGTGTCCATCCCCGGCATGTTATCCTATGTGTCCATCCCCGGCATGTTATCCTATGTGTCCATCCCCGGCATGTTATCCTATGTGTCCATCCCCGGCATGTTATCCTATGTGTCCATCCCCGGCATGTTATCCTATGTGTCCATCCCCGGCGTGTTATCCTATGTGTCCATCCCCAGCGTGTTATCCTATGTGTCCATCCCCAGCGTGTTATCCTATGTGTCCATCCCCAGCATGTTATCCTATGTGTCCATCCCCGGCGTGTTATCCTATGTGTCCATCCCCGGCGTGTTATCCTATGTGTCCATCCCCAGCGTGTTAACCTATGTGTCCATCCCCGGCATGTTATCCTATGTGTCCATCCCCACCGTGTTATCCTATGTGTCCATCCCCACCGTGTTATCCTATGTGTCCATCCCCACCGTGTTATCCTATGTGTCCATCCCCTGCATGTTATCCTATGTGTCCATCCCCGGCATGTTATCCTATGTGTCCATCCCCGGCATGTTATCCTATGTGTCCATCCCCGGCGTGTTATCCTATGTGTCCATCCCCGGCGTGTTATCCTATGTGTCCATCCCCGGCGTGTTATCCTATGTATCCATCCCCAGCGTGTTATCCTATGTGTCCATCCCCAGCGTGTTATCCTATGTGTCCATCCCCGGCGTGTTATCCTATGTGTCCATCCCCAGCATGTTATCCTATGTGTCCATCCCCGGCATGTTATCCTATGTGTCCATCCCCGGCATGTTATCCTATGTGTCCATCCCCAGCATGTTATCCTATGTGTCCATCCCCGGCATGTTATCCTATGTGTCCATCCCCGGCATGTTATCCTATGTGTCCATCCCCGGCATGTTATCCTATGTGTCCATCCCCGGCGTGTTATCCTATGTGTCCATCCCCGGCGTGTTATCCTATGTGTCCATCCCCGGCGTGTTATCCTATGTGTCCATCCCCAGCATGTTATCCTATGTGTCCATCCCCAGCATGTTATCCTATGTGTCCATCCCCAGCATGTTATCCTACGTGTCCATCCCTGACATGTTATCCTACGTGTCCATCCCCGGCATGTTATCCTATGTGTCCATCCCCAGCATGTTATCCTATGTGTCCATCCCCAGCGTGTTATCCTATGTGTCCATCCCCGGCATGTTATCCTATGTGTCCATCCCCGGCATGTTATCCTATGTGTCCATCCCCCGGCATGTTATCCTATGTGTCCATCCCCAGCATGTTATCCTATGTGTCCATCCCCGGCATGTTATCCTATGTGTCCATCCCCGGCATGTTATCCTATGTGTCCATCCCCGGCATGTTATCCTATGTGTCCATCCCCGGCGTGTTATCCTATGTGTCCATCCCGGCGTGTTATCCTATGTGTCCATTCCCGGCGTGTTATCCTATGTGTCCATCCCCAGCATGTTATCCTATGTGTCCATCCCCAGCATGTTATCCTACGTGTCCATCCCCAGCATGTTATCCTACGTGTCCATCCCTGACATGTTATCCTACGTGTCCATCCCCGGCATGTTATCCTATGTGTCCATCCCCAGCATGTTATCCTATGTGTCCATCCCCAGCGTGTTATCCTATGTGTCCATCCCCGGCATGTTATCCTATGTGTCCATCCCCGGCATGTTATCCTATGTGTCCATCCCCGGCATGTTATCCTATGTGTCTATGCACACATAGACTGGAATCGTTTTTTGGCTGGAAAAAAAAAACAGAACTATTGGGGTTCTAGAGGGGTTTTTAGCTGTAAAAACGCTCTATTGCTGAAAAACACAGTAAAATGCCGCAAACCGGCGTTTGTGGACCTTTTTTAAAAAAAAAAAAATAGTTTTTTTTGGTTAAAAAGAAAACGCTAAAAAATGCTGAAAAAACATCGCTAAACACAGCAAAACTCCGCTAAACTCTAATGGAAAAAAAAAGCTGAAAAACTCACATTTTTAACCCCTTGGCGTGAGGACTTATAGTAATCCAGTCTATGGGGTGTTAATGAGTTACCAGAAAAATGAGTGTCTCTACAGCTGCCCGGGTCACTTTGGCACAAATGCTGGAGACCAGAATGAGCTCGTGGCCACCACTGTCTCTAGGAGCTTGCTTTATCCTCTTCAGACTTTGGACGTACCTGGGGTAGCCATCACATCCCTTTAAAACCGAAAACACATGTTAATGACACAGGTTCTGGGGATAATTTAACCCCTTCCTGTCTGGACACTTTCACCGCCTTCCTGCCCAGGCCAATTTTCGCACTTTGAATGACAATTGCGCGGTCGTGCAACACTGTACCCATATGAATTTTTAGCGTTTTTTGTGACAGATAAAACTTTATTTTGGTGGTGTTTATTCACCGCTGGGATTTTTTTTTTTTTTCGCTATATAGATGAAAAAGTCCCAAAATTTTGATAAAAAGTGTTTTTCTTATAAAATTTTGCAAATAAATAATCTTTCTTCATAATCCTTGGCCAAAATTTATTCGGTTATCTTTTTTAGTAAAAAAAAAAATAACAAAAATTAGTTTATAACCAAAAATTATAATTTTTTAAATTTTTATTTTACATTTTTATTTTTTATATTATTATTTTTTTTTTCTTACATACTGTCACCCTAGCAGTACAGGGTCACCATAGTGACACTGTACTACTTGTGGGGGGTGATGAAGATTTTTTTTTTTTACACTGATTGCTTTCACACCCATAAAGGCTGTAAAAGCAATCATTTCTCCTCTCTGGCTGCATTCTTGCAGCCATTGAGAAATACTGTGAGAGCTGTGATTAGTCACAGCTTGTCACAAGGTACAAGGCTGTTGTGAATAGCCCTGTACCATGTGATCTCGGTGATCATTCACAGATTTCACACGTAGTAAGCAATGATGTCAGAAGTGACAAGTGCTTACTACTCTTCATGTGATCACTGATTGGCCAATCAGTGATCACATGATCGGGACCTCACACAGAGGTCTCGTACAATGATTGGTGTTCCAAGGGACACAGCGGGCACCGGATCGCGGTGCTGCGTGCTCCCAGGGACCGCGCGCAAGCAGGGGGCCGGCAAGGCCGTTTATATACATGGGCCGGGCGGGAAGTGGTTAATGCAGGTAAGGCACCAGGTGAGTTGAATTACCACCCTATTCAACCTCAGAACCTGTGTCATTAATATGTGGTTTTAAAGGGATGAGGTGGCCACCTTAGACGTACCAGAACCCCACTAAGAATTCTGATGAGGTTCACTTAAAGCCCCACGCCGGGATAACTTCAACAAAACAATCCAGACTATTACCCGCCTCATCCTAACAATGATCCACTCTTTGTAAGAACAAGAAAAAAATATATATATATACTGTAGGTACCTGCGATATGTTGGTGGGCACACACGTAATTTCACTTCTTTCTTGGCCCAAAGTGGACTATGCCTTCCACCATGCATTGGGATGTTAGTTCCTGGTTGGGCGTTACTTGGGCAAGTCCCCACCACCCTCCCTGTTAGTCATTGCTATCTCTTCCACCATTGGGTGTCCTGGTCCTGCATGTTCTCCAGCAGCTGGAAGAGCAAGACAAGCCTTGAACCCTTCTCCTTGCTTGGCTCTCTATGCCTGGGTTCAATCCCCTGCAATATTCTACGTAGAATTCATAGGTTGCACCAGGACCGAGCATGGCTGCCATTGCCTGTGTCCTTCCCCCACCCCTCCCTCCTGTGATATTCTCCTCTATATAGAAACCAGCAGACGCAGAACGCCGTTCAGCAGAGAATAGTCGCTGAATGTTCTGCTGGCGCCCCGCCCGCTGTTCTATGACTAAGCAATGTGAACAGAGCTGAGCTATTCTCTAACGAAAAGAAACCATTCAGCAGCTGCTAGTTCATGCGTGATACGTAGGGTTAGGTGATCGGAGCTGGGTTCAGATCATGGGAGGTTTGGTGAACTTTACTGAAGTTCCACTGTTAGGCTACTTTCACACGAGGTGTTTTTGTGCTGTGCGGTGCTGTGCTGTGC